CTGAGGCTTGCTTGAACTTTCTCTCTCTGCTCTTGCTGCCTCCCCTCGCTGTCAATGACCGAACTGTTTGTCCCATTTGCCACGGTCCATCCGCTAGAGAGCGTGCTGGATTTGTTCAAGGCGGCGCAAAAGCATCAGATGATCCAAATGACCATTGATCATTTCTCCGCTGATCCCGCCGCCGTCAGTCGCCTACGATCCCCCTTTCAGGTAAACTCAAGCCTTGAGCTTGGCTCCCGAATCAAGATGGCTTGCTCCCTTGTCCCCATCTACCTCAGCTGCTTCCCCTCTTCATTTCTTGGTCACCCACTCTTTGATCGTTGCTCGGACACATCTACACGCTAGGTAAAATGGCTTCAAGAGTTCATCGCGGCCAGCCTGGCCCTGCCGCTGTCATATCACGAGCTGATCCGCAAATCGGTCGAGCTTTACTGTTCATGGCTCCAGCTACACGCCAATACCCCAGAACCCGTGATTAACGACCCCAACGTCTTCTCCATCACCATTGTCCACCACCTCAGCCAGTTGTTTCGCACAGACGTTGCCGCTACGACTGCCCTCACCCCAAAACATGTCGCCCTCTGCAAACGGTACGCCGCCTTTGGAACCCGCCCTTGCCGAGCCAAACGCATAATTATGTGCGACTCCCATCGGTGCCCGTGGCTTACATCACATCCCATTCTCTCTGTGGGGTTGGATTGGACGCTAGTATTCTCGACTGTTGGAGCAATCTATCGTTTGCAACACTCCAGCCATCAGCCTTGAACAACCTTTTGGCGGTGTTGATGAGCGTCGCTGATGGTCTTCTTCATCAACCGGTCCAAACCCACGAACTTGCCGACCACCTCTCCAATGACCTCGTCCGCGTGCTTTTGGAAGTTTGGGTCAAGGTATGCCCAACCTTAGCTCTGTTTTTTTTTTTTTTTTTGTTTTGTTTTTTTTTTTTTTTTTCTCTTTCTTTCTTTTTCAGGCAACCCCGGGCTTGGTTTCTTCTGGGCATACGACTCACATATCCCATCCTTTTGACCACACCCAGGTATGCCTAGTGTGCTTTCCTGACAGTCAGCTGTGGCAAAGGCTACGGACCCACTTTCGTCGTTGGCGCCATCGACCACAAACAGTGGTCTGGTGGTGTGAGATCACGCGCAGCCTCACCCAGCGGCTAGTCATCGTCACCTCTCAACGGCATCCTGAACAAGAACTCGATGTCTGTCGGGCCCTTGAGGTATTCTTTTCACATCCTCGTCCCCGTCGCAGCAAACTTGACCTCCATCTCCAAATTTCAATTTCGTTTTGCTTTCTGTTTCATTTCCATCCCTCCTGTTCATGCTTGCTCTTCCTGCTGACTCCCTTAGTCTGTAGATGGCAGCATCAAAGCAATGCCAGTCGAAGTCTTGCTTCATTGCTGGCAGCACATGTTCCATCTTTTGGGACCTCCCTTGGCTACACCAGAAGCGCGCGCAATGACACCCGGTCTTGAGGAGTCGTTGACGCCACTTGCGCCACGTCAGTGCCAGCTGGGCTTTAATGTTTCTCATCATCCCTTGCGCAAGCACCTGTCTAAACCTGCCATGCTTTGTCCTTTGTAGAACCTTTTCTGGAGATGATGCACGGCCTCAATACAATTGCCTCCGACTTGCTAACCGTCCCACATGGCGTGCCCCCACCCAGGTTTGGACACAGCTCCTCGTGTCCCCATTGGTATTCGGTTGGCTCTTTCCCGTCCCCCAAAGTCTAGCAGCTCATTTCCCACGGTGTTGCCACTATTGGGACGTGTCAGTGGGCGCTCAGTATTCAAACTGCTGGGTGATTGGTTGTTGCAATCAGCCCAACTCAGCGCTGACTCGGATGCCTCGGATGACTACACAGACGGGCGTGCTTTGGTGAGGCCCCGTTTCATGGATGATTGCCTCTCGTTTTCGTTCATTCGCCCTGAATTTGACTTGGCAACTTGGCACGACTCTGGCGTTGGCCTACTACGTACGTAGGCCCTCGGCACCATTTGCCGAATCCTGTGCAAGACACAATTCCATCACCAAGATCTGTCAGAGGTGAGTCCTTGAATTCCTGCAGTTATCACACCGATGAGATTCCAAACAAGGGTCATGTGCTGACATGCGTGGCTTGAGTGACTGCTCTATGCTCATCTCTGGTTGCCGCCTTTGTTAATGATGGATCATTCTGCTCAGGATCTGTTGGATCGCATTTTCGCCCTCGTCATTCGTGGCCTTCGTCATCCCTCAATCCTACGCCAAGTCATCCCTAATCTGGACGGCATATTCTTGCTGGACGTCCCTGGCCTTCTGATTCTGGTCCTCCCGATTGTATCAGCCTGCCGCATGGTATTGTGTGGCGAGGACAAGAGCTTTGGCCCTCGCCTGCGCCGTGCAGCTATTTCTTTGCTTGAGAGCATGATCTGTCTTCCCCTCCACTACCCTGATGTGGAGCTACCCACATTTGCTGGCACCGATTTGAACCAAGCCGCTGACTCCCAGCTCAATCTCAGCGTAGTGACCGTGCGCATTGGAGACATTCTCCTCGAAGGCATTCGCAAAGAAGCTGATGCCATCAACATGCTGGTTTGTACCTGCACATCTGCTTCTGCTGGTGTTATCATCACAGATCGCCGATCTCCATCCCTTGGTCTGTGGGACCCTTTGCTGCTTTATTTTCACAAGACACGACCCATTGCCTGACACCGCCACCCACCTTCTGGTTTGCTATAGGCGTATTTTCGAGCTCTGCAACTACTGGCCGCCGAGGACGAGTCGGTGCGTGCCACCATGAGAGTGCATGCGCGTGATCGCGTGGCGCCGGTTTGGCTCTCGCCCGCCACACGCCGTCGCAATTTGGTAAGTTGTATGCCGTGACAAGAGAAAGACCACCTAGGCCTCGTTCGCGGGACCTGTTTGTCAGAATGAAGCCTTTTTTTGTTCTCGTTTTTTTATTCAAGCCCACCTGACTTGCCTTGGCAGGATCGCAAAACCCACAGTTTACACACCGACCAACACCAGCCACAGACTGAGTCAGACGCCGAGACAACCCCGCGCCAGCAGTCTTTTCCCGAAGCAGCCTGGGCCACACAGATGATGCGAAAGATTGGTCGCCAGCACACTCGAGTCGGTCTTGAGCCCTCAGTGCCGGAACATGGTGCTGTACCGGCGCCGCCGCCACCGCCACCGCCCATTCTTGTTGCCCGCATCCTTCAAAGCATCCTTGAATTGCTCTGCAGGTCGGTGCATATCAGTTTTGCGCCTTCACCAAGGGCAACATGGTCTTGACATTTTGTGATTGACGTTGTCCTTGCCTTATGCTGTCGCCGCATTTATTTAGTAAGCAATGGGAGTACAACGTCACACTCGGATGTTTTGCGCTTCTTGAAAGCTTGGCACGGCATCACGAGTGTCTCATCCGTTGTCAGGCAGACAGCGTGCTCACGTTCCTGCGCACAGTTGTGGACTACATTACCGAAGCACTGCAGCAGCCACCACCCAAGCAAACGCGCTATCTCCACTCCATCATTGTGGCAGCCTTCCATTGCCTAATGGCTTGGCTACGTCAGGATAAGGTTTGTCAGGAACGCCTGGACAAGCCTTTTGATGCCGCAATCAACTCGTGCGTGCTGGGCACCGCATCACTTGTATTCTGACTTGTACTTGCGGTCAAATCTGGCCACATCCTCCTCGTTGTGCCATCTAGCTTCTTGTGAAACGCGATGAATACCGAAATCTTTTGCTCAAGGCCGTGGCGGCCGGCTTTATGGGAAAACCAGCTCGCGAGCGACGAGGTAGCGACGCGGCAGCTATGATTGCTAGCTGGTCCATTGTCAAGGACGGCATGCATCGGCTCCACAACAAAGAAGGTGGGATGATTCTGTTTTGCCTTTGAGCGGCCGCCTCAGAGGGAAAGCAGGCTGTATTGTGCATACAAATATTTACGCATGAAATGCTGCGCGAGCTGTAACTGAGCGGGCTTTCCCTTTGTCGTAGCCACACCCACGGGCTCACCATCACTACGTGTGCAAGAAGCTGCGAGCTTGCTCCTCATGAACATCCTCGCAACAGGCCGATGCACGGCCACGCTTCAACCAGAAGCGTCTGCGCCCGATCATCTCGAACGCATGGCTGCTGCTCTTGCCACGGGTAGGTTATCGCCGAGCTGCTCCAAACACCCAAGCAGTTACACACTTGTTGGTAAATTTTTTTTGACGGACTCCAATTTCACTCTACTCGTCTGGTCGCTGGCCTGCTGACAGGAGCTACGGACAGCGCCTCTGTCTCAGTATGGGGCTTGGGCAGTCACACCTTGGCCACCGTGATCGAGGATCCTCAAAATGCCGGCAGTGGCGAAAGTTCCCTTTTTTCGGATCAGCTTATCGTCCTCCGCGACCTTGCAGGAACTCACGTCTACAGCGTTCGACCACACATGCAATCCGAACCGCCCGCCTCTGCAAACTCGTCTTCGCCGAGCAAGAGCCCTGGCAGCTGCACTGTCGTGCCGAAGACCAGTACCAACCGCATATCGGTCTTTACTCGCTCCGAATTTGATGGCATCCTGAGCACGCATGCTGTACAAGCCCCGATTGACGATCCCAATAGTCGCGAGCGTCAAGCTTGGAGACATGGGCGCCAGCACGTGGCGCATCTCACCAATCAGCAACTTCGCAATGAACAATCTTGTGGGATCGATGAGGTTGGACATGTTGCCTGATGGTTCGGTCCAGCTCACGTGACCTGTTGAGTCAAGCCAACATCGCCTTGAGGCCCTCACTTTGTGGTTGGCTTTCGTACTCTTTCATGGGTTGTTTAGGACGAGGCTAGCTTTGCTCCTGCCCTTCAGCCGCCACCAGCATGTCGGCGCCGGCATGCTGTGGCCACCATGCTGCTCCGCAACATGTTTCTTGGCGTGGATCGCGGCGATCCCCCCATTACATCGTTGGTGCGCCTCAAAGTGGACACCACCTTGATTGGCGACATCCAACGTTTAGACCGGTTCGTTTTCTTTGGTGCCAAGGCGCTTGGTGAATCACCTGCACCTCTCCTCCACGGCGTTGGACTATTCCGGCCGGCTTGTTTTTGAAGCACAGCAGTTGTCATCTTTGATCGCTCTTGAAGCTGGCTTTGCTTGGTTGTTGTTGGTGCGCCCCTGCTTGCCATTATGCTTGGGGCATGGATGCTCAAGCCGTTGACCATTGCCATGAATAGGACGCGCGGCCATGGCGTGGTGATGGCACACATCCACCGCTGTGGCAAGGCAGCCGGACGGCTCGAGTTTGAGCAGTTTGTTGAAGATTTAACCCGCCAGAGTCCGCTGGGATATCGGGCGCTGTCCCGCCCCGATGATGACCGAGTATATTTATCGCCGTCATTCTATCTCAAGTGCGTAGTCATGCCAGCGGGCGCTCCGCCTGTGGAGGCCATTGTGGCAGGCAATGACTTGACTTTGGAGCAAGAGGGTGGCGAATCGCTGGTGGACGTGCCCAGCGATCCAGTTTTACTGAGGATGAACCTCTTCTGGTATGATGCACCTGGCGACATGGGTGCCAACGCGGGACGACCGGGCGTGCACGTCGCCCCCCTTCCCAATGGCCTCTACGTCCTAGAGCTCAATGATGTCGTCAAGTCGAGCATGCTAGTCAGCGACCGTACGCTGGTGGAGATGATCCGGAATCACCTCAACTCGGAATGTTTGTTGTCTTGGGTGGGTCTGGACCACACCACCTGGCCCACCGTGGGTCGTAAGAGGCTGATTGAAAAGCTAATCACGTCGGCCCCTAGTCAATATGATCGACTCTGAGTGGTGTCGAAATGTCAGGCGAAGCCTGTTGGCAGCTTGTGTGTGATTCTACGACAGATGAGCTGTTGTCTTTATTTAACATAAAAAGGATGTTGTCACGCATGGCCCTGCGCATGTAGGGTGTGTTTGGATGGCGGCAATACAGCAAAGACGCCTTGAATTGCAAGGACGGCACACAACGAGGCGCCCTCGATGCCGATTCTAACCCAGTTTACCCACACTTCGAACACTCCGAGATGTCTGTTACACCCACACACATACACACGCACACTCAAGCACACAGACACACGCACGGATGCACACGCTTGCCCACGGCAAAAACAAACAAAAAATGGCAAGCCCACAATCAATCAAAAGGGGGAGATGAATATACGGCTGACCTGCAGCAGCACTTGGACTAAAACAGACTTCCTATCAAAGCCTTGTACAAGAGCCTGACAAGTTATGAGGTTATTCATTTCCATTATGCTCATCAAGCGCTTCGTCCTGCATCTTCTTTTCGTCCAGAGTATTTTCCGTGTAGGGAGGCGCATTGAGTTGACAATCAGAAAGCTCGGTGTAAACGCGCGAAAATTGATTGCGGGCTCGCCTCTTAAGTTGATAGGTGAAGGCAACACCCACGAATACGGCAAAGAGAACATATCCCACAATAGCGCCAGGTGATCGGGCCGGGTGATGCGAGCCTGACGACTGCGATGGAGAGACGGTGGTCAAGGGGCTCGAGACTAAGCGGGAGACTCCGAGAACCTGAACAACCTTCAATGAGGTGTCCGATTTACTTGACAGCACCAGTAGTTGGTCCTGTACCACCACAAAAGTGTGTGTATTCAGTCCGACGCCAGTCAGGTGAACCGGCTCCTTCGAGTTGACCGTCACCGTGTCCCGTGCCATGTCAAAGCCCACCGCATACACAAACACCTCCCGCACGGATGGGTCGGTGCTCTTCCAGCTCGCATCCGGCTCTAGCACCAGCAGCCCCATCGCGCCGTTTTGCGTCAAAGAGTACACTGCCGCTTGCCGCGTCGACTCGATCGTCATGGGCAGCATGACTGGTGACCCCATTGGTCGGCACGAGTCGTGCGGGGCCAGGTTGAGGAACACCAGCTGCGAGTTTGTCACCACCACGGAAAAGTCAATGCTGAGCGGGAACACGGCCGCCTTGCGTTGAATACGATTGCATATTGAGACCGGACCGGCAGTATCGAGCTCCGTGTCCTGTCGTGGTTGGTTGGGGAAGACCACCTTGGCGTGATCATGCAAACTATTGAGCTCGTCGGGAATGAAGTCCGCCGCCCTGATGACCTTGTCGGGCGTATAGAAGAAGCGGGATGAACGCGCATGCATAGTCATCTGGCACCCCATGGCCCGGCTTTGCACGCTGTGCGTGCACCGGAACATCTGGCTCTGAAGCGCCGCCGCCCCGCGGGATGCCAGTCGGGACTGCGTGGCAATCAAGACGGTCGGATCTGCTTGGCTGGGATCGCACGCAAGGTCCATGCCATCACTTCGATATGGCGTCAGCAGAGGAAACCACACGCTCGACAGGTTTTGGCCATCGGCACTCACGTAGCTCAGCGTGTCGTTGCTGAACACAAAGGCCGATCCATCCCGCAGCAGGCAACGAACGCCAGAGATGGCAGCGGGTACATCCATGGGGTAGGAAGCGGTGCCATCGAAGAAGGTGGCACCCTGGTGGTAGGGGTCGGACAGGATAAACCCGTCGGTCCCCAAGGGCTGAACGGTCACGCCAAGGTCGCGGCTGGAGGTCGGGACCTGGGGTTGGCTGGTGACGGGGAGCTGGTCGATGCCAAAGGTGACGTTGTCCAGTCGATCGGGGTCGTCCTGGTTGTAAAGATCGATGGTTGCAGTGGTTTGACGAGTAGTGGTTTGACAAGTAGCCAACACCGAGAAGAGCGCGAGGGTGACGAGCACCACGGCCGACACCTTCATCGTGCCGGCTCAATTCACGCAGGAAGGTCGTACTCAACGGACTCGTCTTCAGCTTCCTCTGCCCAAAAAAAAAAAAAAAAAAAAAAAAAAACCCGCCGAGCATGAGCGAGGGCGAGAGGAGAGAGGAGAGAGAGAGAGAGAGAGAGGGAGGGAGGGAGACGAGAAAGATTGGAGAGCGGGAGGGGAAGAAGCATGGCAGAACAAAACGCCGAGGGTCGCGTTCATCAAGACGGAGGCCGACAAGTCCGCCAAACCAGGGACTCCCACCCCAACGGCACTCGCTGCCATTCGGCGCCCACACACACTTGCACTCACTTGTTGTTGCAAAGGGAAAAAAGTAATGTCACTCCGCTCTCACACGCTCTCTCTCTCTCTCTCTCTCTCTCTCTCTCTTGCTTTTGTTTGCGCCTCTTTCTTTTGTCTTTTTTGGTGTCTCTATCTCTCTCGCACACACACACACACTCTCTCCCTCTGTTCTCTTCCACCTCTCAGACCCACGAATTTGGGGTGGTGGGCATGTGCCTGCCTCTCATTCTTCAAACCTAGTCTCTTTGAATATCCCGTTCCGCAAGCCTCTCTCTGATACCCTTTGAATTTACCTTTGATTATCCACCACTATCAACCAAAACTGCCTCGCATCTCTGCACTCCGCTCCATTCGCTACCCCTTCTCTGACCCCCTGCTCCTCCACTAGTAATCACGCACACGTATCTACGTTACTCCCGGAAAACGAACACGCTCCTCTTATGACCTCTTAGGGCGACTCAAGCCTTGTTGGTGTGTTGAATGATCAAAACGGCGGTCGGTGCGATCAGATGCATCTGGATCGGCTGGCGCGCCTGTGGGCAAGAGGCCCTCTACCTTTGCATGACACAGTCTCATAACAATCAACTATCCTTGTACTAAAACACATGCTGACTGAAGAAAGGAAGAAAGCGAGAGAAAAAAAAAAGAGAAAAGAGAGAGAGAGGGGAAGGGAGAGAAAGCTCTAAAAACAAAAGAAAACAAAAAAAAGCACGGTGGGCAATGAAAAGCAAGCTGATTCATCACCAACCGGTACACGGCACTGCTTCCATACGTGCGCACACACACACACGCACGCACACACGCACAAGCACAAGCACAAAAGGTTGTCTTCAATATCAGAGGGAAAATATTATCTCAACATTCAACAGACTACACAAAACCATGGGTGCGCCAAGAGGCAAAGGTCCAAAACTCAAGGGAAAGAAACATGAAGAAAAACAAAACACGGGGCCTGTGGAGCAAGGCAGACCCACAAGGCCTCATCACTTGAAAAACTTAAAGGATTACGGCACCTCCATGGGTGGTGCCGCGTGCGGTGAAGCACTCTTCTTGGCAGCGCGAGTGTCGCGCTTGTTCAAGCAGTTCTTGATGGTGGGGTATTGCTTGACAAACTGAGGATAGATCTCGGGCTTTTGAGCCATGGTCACCAGCTTCCAGCAGTGCTCGCAAAACTTGGGCTGCTCCGACCGCTTGGGACGTTTGCTGGACTCCTCCACATGAATGGCCTCGCGCGTGCAGGGCAAGCTGGTGTGGTACGTGCGGCACTGACGATCCAGAAGAAGATACCAAGCAAAAATTGGATGGGAATCCGAGTCGTGGCCCGGTGCCTCCACCTGCGCAAACAGATCCAGAATGTTCCGCGTGGCCATCTCGTCCTCGGCATCCCAACCCGTCTTGATGGTGGCACCGACCACCTTGGCGATCCACGTGTCAAAGTAGAAACGCTGGCGGCACGTGGCAAACAAATCAATCTTCAAATCGTGGGAGACGCGTCGACAAGCGGCACTGATGGCAAAGTAGCAACACTTTTGCATGCTGTCCACGTTTTGAAACATGGCCTCAATGACTGGATACTTGTTGGCCGTGCTCAACAGCTGCAAGCGACAAAAGGACCCGCAAAATCAAAACATCAGTTTGTGGCACCAAAGAAGAAGACAAACAGTCTGTCAACCAAAAATGCAGAAACCCCCTCCCCCGCCCATTGACGTGAGGAAACAACGCGGCTCAACGATATGACACACACAAACCTTGTGGCAAGCTGCAGTGGGCAGACTTGTCAGGAAGTGATGAACCACGTCGTCCTAAAGAAAAAATTGACAAAGATAGAAGCAGCGCAACAAGAGTGACATCAGGGCGCCCTCGACACACAGGCCATTGCAGCACTGGTTTGGATCAAGGAAGCACGCAGGTCAGGCTGTCGCCCACGTACACAGCTCATATCAATCAAACGCGTGGACAAGGCCTGTCCTCGAAGGCCCGTCTCTTCCAGGAGGAGAAAATCTTCAGGCTCCAAACCAGCTACACGGGCAAACATCTTGAGAAGGACCCAGGCCTGTTCAGAGGCTGCCTTGCTGTGATTCTTCTTCTGATTGGCTGCGAGGTGTGCGAGCAAAACCACGGAATAAAGAGGCGGGAAATGTGAGTCGGCGGGCTGGACTCAGGATTGATGGGAGAGAACCAGTGAGACGCCAGCGGCACGGGCATGTCCGCGCCGGACAAAGCGAGAATGGCAAGCCCTTACCGGCGGCCATGTCAAGTGCACGGATCCAGTAATAGGCAAGCGAGTAAAGACCGCTGATGTCCATTTGCTTGAGGTCCATTTCCTGGATGAGGTTGTTTTGGACGGTGACGTAGAGGCCCATGTATTCGTCTGCCTCCCAAAGCTCGGGCTCGCCTGCTAGGTCTTCGCCCTGGCAAATGATGCGCAGGAGACTCTCCAAGTTGGCGGGAAGCGGGGCCACGGTCGTGTTGGGATCCACGGACCGGCAGCAAATGTACAGATGGCTAGCCCGAAGGAGGGAGGCGGCCACGAGCTTGTAGTCCATGCGGGGATAGCCCATGTCATTTTGCATCTCGAGCTCTAAGCTGTGTGTGAGCTTGGCGAAGCGAGCGAGAAAGTCCTCGCTTTCGTACACCTCGAAATTGCTGGGAGAGGTCAAGGCCCGGGCAGCGTCTTCAAGATACCGAGCAATCATTTGAGCGTAGTCTGTATCCGCCTCGATGCCGGGCACCTTGAGCGAGGTAGGTAGGAAGGGCTGCTGCACCTTAAACTCAAAGTCGTCGTCAAAGCGCAAGTCCGACTTGCGGGAAATTTGCAGAATGTGGCTTCGCGAGGAAGGCGAATACCGGACCAAAAAGATGATGGCCGCAATGACGAGCACGCCCACGACAATGTACAAGGGCAGAGCCACATTGAGGCCCATCGCGTTGGAAGAGCCCCGTGCACTCCCCTCGGGGTTGCCGGTGGAGGACGTCAGAAGCACGACTGAGCGGGAGACGCCAAAGACGTGGGTGACCAAAGGCGTCGCCGAGTCTGTGGATTCGGCCAGGCTGCTCGCCTTATTCGCGACCTGCGTCGCGCTCCGGCGGTGAACTGCGGACGTTGAGGAGTTTTTGACGACCAGCAACTGCTCCTGTACCACCACAAAAGTGTGTGTATTCAGTCCGACGCCAGTCAGGTGAACCGGCTCCTTCGAGTTGACCGTCACCGTGTCCCGTGCCATGTCAAAGCCCACCGCATACACAAACACCTCCCGCATGGATGGGTCGGTGCTCTTCCAGCTCGCATCCGGCTCTAGCACCAGCAGCCCCATCGTGCCGTTTTGCGTCAAAGAGTACACTGCCGCTTGCTGCGTCGACTCGATCGTCATGGGCAGCATGACTGGTGACCCCATTGGTCGGCACGAGTCGCGCGGGGCCAGGTTGAACAACTCGAGCTGCGAGCTTGTCACCGCCACGGAAAAGTCAATGCTGAGCGGGAACACGGCCGACTTGGGTTGAATGAGGACACAGTCTGTGATGGGACCGGCATGTTGGAGCTCCGATCCCTCGCGTGGTTGGTTGGGGAACAACACCTCGGATCCGCCCGTGAGCATGCTGACACCAGACACGAGGTCTGCCGCCATGATGACGTTGTCGGGCGTATAGAAGAAGCGGGATGTACGCACGTAAATAGATGCCCGACACCCCATGGTCCCGTTTTGCACGCTGTGCGTGCACCGGAACATCTGGCTCTCAAGCACCGCCGCCCCGCGGGGTGCCAGTCGGGACTGCGTGGCAATCAAGACGGTCGGATCTGCTTGGCTGGGATCGCACGCAAAGTCCATGCCACCACTTCGAAATGGCGCCAGCGGAACAAACCACACGCTCGACAGGTTTTGGCCATCGGCACTCACGTAGCTCAGCGTGTCGTTGCTGAACACAAAGGCCGATCCATCCCGCAGCAGGCAACGAATGCCAGAGATGGCAGCGGGTACATCCATGGGGTAGGAAGCAGCCCCATCGAAGAAGGTGGCACCCTGGTGGTAGGGGTCGGACAGGATAAACCCGTCGGTCCCCAAGGGCTGAACGGTCACGCCAAGGTCGCGGCTGGAGGTCGGGACCTGGGGTTGGCTGGCGAGGGGGAGCTGGTCGACAACAAAGGTGATCTTTTCCATCATTGCAGGGCTGTTGTAGCCAAAGAGATCCACGGTACTGCTGATGGGGGCCGCTGATATGTGTGCGGCAAGGGCCAGCGCCAACCAAACGGTGGCGCGCAGGGCTGCCATGGCCTGTGGTTGCCGAC